AATGGAAATGGTATATTCAAGATCAGGCCTGAGAAGGACCTGAAGGCACATGTAAGTTTCATGAGGAAGTGGACCAAACGCCCATGGTCTCCACTCCTGTCACATTACCTTCCATCTCCCAGTCTGTACTTGTGGCCTCACGGGGAGTTCCTTATGATCAGTTAACTGAGAAAGAGAAAACTCATACCTGGTCAATAGATGGTTCTGTGTGATATGCAGGCACCACTCGAAACTGGACAGCAGCAGCACTACTGCCCCTTTCTGGGACTTCCCTGAAGGACAGTGGTGAAGAGAAATCCTCCCAATGGCCAGAACTTCAAGCACTGCCCCTGGTTGTTCACTTTGCTTGGAAGGAGAAATGGTTAGATGTGCAATTATATACTGACTTATGGGCTGTGGCCAGTGGTTTCGCTGGATAGTCAGGGACTTGGAAAGAACATGATTGGAAAATTGGAGACAAGTAGGTATGGGGAAGAGGTATATGAATAGACCTGTCTAAAAGGGCCACAGAAGTGTAGATATTTGTGTCTCATGTGGATGCTCACCAAAGGATGACCTCAGCAGAGGAGGATTTTAACCATCAAGTGGACAGGATGATGCGTTCTGTGGAAATCAGTCCTCTTTCCCAAGCCACTCCCATCATTGCCCAATAGGCTCATGAACAAAGTGGCCACGGTGGCAGGGATGGAGCTTATGCATGGGCTTAGCAACATGGACTTCCACTCACCAAGGCCAACTTGGCCACTGCCAAGTACCCAATATGCTAATAGCAGAGACCAACGCTGAGTCCCTGATATGGCACCATTCCTCAAGGCGATCCAGCCAGCAACCTGTTGGCAGGTTGATTACACTGGACTGCTTCCATCATGGAAAGGGCAGCATTTTGTTCTTACTGGAAATAGACACTGACTCTGGATACGGATTTGCCTTCCCTACACACAATGCTTCTACCAAAACTACTATCCATGGACTTACAGAATGCCTTATCCACTGTCATGGTATCCCACACAGCATCGCCTCAGATCAAGGGATTCACTTCACAGTAAATGAAGTGCGGCAATGGGCCCAGTACATGGAATTCACTGGTCTTACCATGTTCCCAATCATCCTGAAGCAGCTGGCTTGACAGAAGGATGGAATTACGGTGCCAGCGAGGTAGCAATACCTTGCAGGGTTGGGGCAGTGTTCTCCAGGAAGCTGTATATGCTCTAAACCAGTGTCCAATATATGGTGCTTTTTCTCCCATAGCCAGGATTCAGGGGTCCAGGAATTAAGGGCTAGAAATGGGAGTGGCATAACTCACTACTACCCCTAGTCACCCACCAGCAAAAATTTTGTTTCCTGTCCTCACAACACTATGCTCTGCAGGTCTAGAGGTCTTGGTTCCAAAGGGAGGAATGCTCCCACCTGGAGACACATCACTGATCCCCTGAACTGGAAGTTAAGAATGCCACCTGGCCACTTTGAGCTCCTTATGCCTCTGGATCAACAGGCAAAGAAGGGACTTACTGTATCGGCTGATGTGATTGATCCTGATTACCAAGAGGAAATCGGATTGATATTACATAATGTAGGTAAAGAAGAATATGTCTGCAGCACAAGAGATTCCTTAGGGCGTCTCTTAGTACTACCACGCCCTATGATTAAAGTCACTACAACTACAGCAACCCAATTCCGACATGACTACTAATGGCCCAAACCCTTCAGGAATGAAGGTTTGGGTCACCCCACTAGGCAAAGAACCATGACCTGCCAAGGTGCTTGCTGAGGGCAAAGGGAATACAGAATGGGTGGTGGAAGAAGGTAGTTCTTAGTACTTGTTACAACCACATGACCAGTCGCAGAAACGAGGACTGTAATTATTTCTTCCTTGTGTGTGTGCATTAAACATTTTTGTTTTCTTCATTTATAAAATATAAGATGTAAACAGGGCTAATGCATTTTCGGTTCTGTGCATGTTAGTTGCATCATGTTAGGTGCAAGTATGACTTCATAATTGTCTTTATTCAGAGATTATATGGTTTAAGGAGATGTGTGCAGGTGCCAAGTTGACAAGGGGTGGGCAGTGATCATTAAGGTTGTGTGTCAACTTGGCTAGACCATGATTCTCAGTGGTTTGGCAGTTATGATGCCGTTTGGCAGTCATATGATAATGTCATCACCTCCATGATGGGATCAGCTGTGAGTAGGCAATCAGTTGAAAGGGAGTTTTCTTGGGGGTATGACCTGCATCCAACATAGGTGGACTTCTGGAAAGGCTTGTGGGCTTTTGCTTGCTCTGGATCCTGCAGCTAGCTCCTGTTCATCTGACCTCTGGTTCTTGGGACTTGAGCTAGCAGGTAACCTGCCAATCTTTGGGTTCACCAGCCCCCGCAGCTACATGAGTTAGGAGAAGCCTCCAGCCTGACCCACGGACTTGGGACTTTCTAGCCTCTACAACCATGTGAGCCATTTCTTTGATATAAATCAATTTGTCTCTCCCTCCCTCTCCCTCCCCTCTCTCTCTCCTCTCTCTCTATATATATGTATATATCTATATATAAGTATACAGATATATACATATAGCTGGAAGACGTAAGAAAGGATTCTCCCCTAGAGTCTTCAGAGGGAGTGGGGCCTAGCCAACACTTTGATTTTGGACTTACGGTGTCCATAACTGTGAGGGAATAAATATCTTTTGTTTTAAGCCACCATGTTTGTGCTGATTTGTTACAGCAGACCTGGGAAACTAATATATACTTTCAAATGTTTCTTTTAACTAGTATCATGAAATCTTGAACCAAAAACTCATTCACTATTTTATAGACAAACGATCAATGATCTAGCCATTCCAAAACAATCCATTTGCCTTACTATCTATCCTGTCCTCAATCCATAATGGTATTTGTTGTTGTTTTGATCATTATTTACCCTAGTTTAGAAGTGTAGGGTCACTATGAGTGAGAATCAACTTGACAGCATTGGTTGCACAACTTTGTAAATATACTCAAACCATTAAATTTCACACTTAAAAGAATTAAAAAAAGATTTCAAATCAGACCGTCAGATGACTTCAGTAAAAAAAACATGCAGGCACCCCAAACTACACACACATACCACTCCTCCACATGGCCACGAAGAAGCTGCTCTTCCCAAATATTGTTATATTGAAATGATGCCAGAATGACACTAAATCACACAAAACCAGTCCACTCATATTCACACGCTCAAAGGAATAACAATAATAGTAACTAAAATTTATTGAGGGTTTACTATGTGTCAGACACTTTACAGGTATTAGCTCATTTATTTCTTCACTGCAAACCCTTTCAGGTATGTACTATTAACATTCCCATTTGACAGATGGGGAAATTGAGGCACAAATAAGTTTAATAAGTTGTGCCAAGCCGCCAGTTGGGATTTAATTTAACCCCAAGGAACCTGACTCACGAGCACTATGCTATTCTGCCCCAACTGACCTTGTCTTCTTAAAATCACTTGCAAAATTCAATGACATGGGGATGCAAGTCAAGGCAAAACAACCAGAACTATTAACTGCAATAGCAGTCCCAGACAGAAAATCGCAACTACCCGAGGCTCTAAGGATGAGAACAAACTGAAGGCTGTATTTCATGTTACTAAGAGCGCTGACAAGTTCAGTCTATAACCCAAGCATGAAATTCTAGGTTGTTACTCACTACTTTTAAGACTAAGGTAGATTACTTGGTTTATGCCTGCCCATAATAAGCTAATAACCAAAGTGGGAACGCCATCAGAAAGAGTAGACAAAAACATTGTGTATTGTGTGTTTATATAAAATATACATGGCACATATGTTTACATATATGTATGTTTATTAAATAGTGAGAGTCAGATGATAAGTCCTAAGTCATAGGAGAGAGATGGGTAAGGACAAAGTAATCAAAGAAGACTGCATGAGGGGGCCTTGAAGAACAGCATTTAGGAAGGGGTAGGAAGGATAAAGGTCACTAGTCGAGGCAAGCAGGGAGGGAATAAGAAGTGGATTGTTCTTACAGCAGAAACGATGACCATCTGATTAAATTAAGGAGTTCACGTTGTTTAACGTACTGGAAAATAAGAGTGGACAGGCAGGAAGGGGTTATGTAAGATCTCAAAAGTCAAACGAAGTGTTTGTACTTGATACAGTCAGGAAAGGTAAACCATTATTTAAAGATTCATATTTAGTTGTACAGTTCACAAAACAAGAAACACTGGCTTCAATATTTGCTCACATAACCCTGGAGTTCAGCCTTATATATGTTTGCTAATTTCATTATAAATATTCTATTTTGTCACAGCTACCTGCAAGGCATGACCTAGCGGAATCCTAATTCCAGCAAAGTCAAGATATAAAATAAATTGCTTAAAATCACAGCCCTGAATCAAACTGTGCTGCAGGATTTCTTCACAGTCACCTAGCACATTGCTAATGAGTATTAAATTTCCTAACACCTCATAGCTTAACCAGTAATCTCAATATCCGAGTGAAAACGGTGTTCCTTGATAAAAAATACATGCTGTGAAAAATACCGATTTGTGCTCAGTCACTGAAGTTGTCTTCTTTTGGTAATAAACTAAATGACTAAGTAGCCAGTTTCTTTGCGGAGTGAAATAAAAATTCCCAGTTGCATATTTTCACTGAAATACACGTATCAAGCATACAGTCACAGCTGGATTTAATCGGAGCTTAAGGTACTTCTTTCAGGTACCTCCCCTGCCCAAGTAATGCACCCAAACTCTTGGCACTTTCCACAGGCATCCACCTGGGTCTCAGGCGCCTTCGAGGATTTGTGCTTTGGGGCAAAAATCTTATCCTTAGAAGATAAATAAACCCAAGGAAAGGGAATATCCCGTAGAGGACTAAGGGGCTTAGTCTGCGCCTAAGTGGGACCCTAAATCAAGCCACCTCCCCAACTGGGACAAGCACACAGGTATCCACACTCCGTGACGCCCGGCTGCGGCCAGGTAACCCCAGATCCCGGCTAGGGCCGCGCACCCACCTGACCAGAGGCTCCTTCTCCGGCAGGGCAGGCTCCTCCAGGCACTTACACCGGCAGCAACAGCACACGGTCCTCAGCCAGTCCCTCAACCCCATGGAGAGCGAGGTCCCCCGCTGCCGCCGCCGGGAGATTCCAAGAAAGCCGCTGCAGCGAACGACCGTGGCTGGGGCGCGGCCAGCCGGCCAGCGTCCAGGCGCGGGAACAGTCGCGGCGGGGGCGTCGCGGACCGGTCGGCGGGCATCACTCTGCGGCCGCGGCCGGGACGGGGCGAGGGAGGGAGGGCCTCCAGGCCCGGGTTCTGTGGGGCCGCGCGCCTTTCCGCACTTAGGTTTTGTTTGGGGCGTTTGTTTTGTTGGGGCTTTTTTTTTTTTTTCCCCTTTTTAATTCCCCGGGCGCAAATCGGGGCGCATGCGTCCCCGGGACGCTCGCTGCTGCCCTCTAAGAAGGAAGCAGAGACTCCACAGAGACGGCAAAATCCGAGCGCACCAACAGGCCCCGCGCGACGGAGCTGAAGAGGGGAAGGGAAGGGGGAAGCCGTGGAGTCACAGAGCACGAGGTTGGGCTGAGCCTATTCTTACGTTTTATTGGCTTCACTCCCCGAGGCAATATAAGGCCCCCTTCCCTCCCCCTCACGCCTTCAAAGCAGAGTTTGGGTTATGTTTTTGTCAGCCCCACAGAGTATAAAACTAGCAAAAGAGTATGGATTATCGTAGTATAGTCGTATTTTTTTTAAGTAATGTATGCACAAAGCTTAAAAAAAAAAAATTGCTTTCAATCCTCCCAGTCCTTGAGTTTTCAAAAAAAAGGCAACCACTATGGCTAGTTTCTTGTGATTTTCCGGAGCTATTCTATGCTTGTACAAATGGTAATTGTATGTACACATATTCCTCTTTTTTTACTCCAACAGTGGCATCTTCTACATCTTTTTTTTTTTTTTAATCTGCCTTGTCTCACTTAGTATCATGGAGACTGTCCCATATGAGCACATGTATATCTTCCTCTATCGTTTTAACCACCAGCCACCAGGTGCTGTGAAGTTACAACTCAGACTCATGGTGACCTCATGTGTGTCACAATAGAACTGTGCACCATAAGGTTTTCAATGGCTAATTTTTCAGAAGTAGATTGCCAGGCCTTTCTTCCAGTGCACCTCTGAGTGGACTCGAACATCCAACCTTAGGGTTAGCAGCTGAGCTCGCTGTTTGCCTCTTCAGTGGTACGGATTCTTATATGTTATTTAACCAGACCCCTACTGATGGACGCTTACTTGGAAACCCTGGGGGCGTAGTGATTAAAAGCTATGGCTGCTAACCAAAAGATCAGCAGTTCTAATCCACAAGGCGCTCCTTGGAAACTGTATGGAACAGTTCTACTCTGTCGTATAGGGTCACGGGACATTTAGGTTACTTTTAGCCTTTGGTGTTAAAATAATGTTACAGTGAACTTCCATGAGCCTGTGTACTTGGACACATCTGCAAATATACCTACTGAGTAAATGTTTGGAAATTTAAGTGCTGGGTCATAGGTAAAATGCCTTTAAAATTTTGACTGTCGTTGGCTGCCATCGAGTCAGCCCCTGACCCATGCCAAACCCACGTGTTACAGAGTAGAACTGTTCCATAGGGTTTTCTTGGCTGTAATCTTTATGGAAGCAGTTTGCCAGGCCTGTCTTCCTCGGAGCAACTGAGTGGGTTTGAACTGCCAATCTTTTGGTTTGCAGCTGAAAATTGCTCTCCGAAGAGATCATCCCAATTTATATTAAGACCTTCAACCTATGAAAGGATCTATTTCCCTACACCTCCCACCAATACATGTTGCAATCTAACTTTTTATCTTTGCCTATCTGATTTTTCCAAGAAATACTTATTGAGTGTCTGTTATGTGCCAGAAGTGTTCCAGGAGCTGGGGATATAGCAGTGAACAAAACGAAAATCCCTCCTCTCATGGAGCAAACATTCTAGTGGGGGGAATCAGATAGTAAACTACACAAGTACATTATTTACTATGTTAGAAGGTAATTGGTACTATGGAGAAAAATAAATCAGGGAAGGGGATAGGAAGTACTAGGGAGTTATGTGGCGGGGGATGGGAGTACCTGCAGTTTTAAATCAGGTGGTTAGAGAAGATCTTTTTGATATGGTGATATTTAAGCAAAAACTTGAAGGAGATAAGCAAGTTAGCCATAATATAGGTGGGGGGTAAGGGGGAGTATTTCAGGCAGAGTGAGGACTATGTGCAAAACCCCAGAGGAGAGAGAAGAAACTGTAGGGTACTTATAAAAGGGAGATGAGTGGACCAGGGAGAGTAGTAGGAGATGATGGACTGTGGGACCATATAGGCCATTGCAAGGACTCTGGATTTTTCTCCACATTTGATAAGGAAACCACTGGAGGTTTTGAACAGAGGGATCACATGGTCTGGCCAGGGTGGTGGTAGGATCCACTGACTGCTGTCTTGAGAAGAGATTGGATGGATATCAAGGGCTGTTTTAGGGAGACTCATACAGAAGCCATTCTAATAATGCAGGTGTCAGATAACAGTGGTTTGAATCAGGGTAATAGTGTAGAGGTGGAAGGAATGGTTGGATGCTGGGGGGAATTTGAAGGTTTGTTGTTGTCGTTAGGTGCTGTCGAGTCAGTTCCGACTCATAGCGACCCTATGTACAACAGAACGAAACACTGCCCGGTCCTGTGCCATCCTCAACATCGTTGTTATGCCTGAGCCCATTGTTGCAGCCACTGTGTCAGTCCATCTTGTTGAGCGTCTAACTCTTTTTTGCTGACCCTCCACTTTACCGAGCATGATATCCTTCTCCAGGGACTGATCGCTCCTGATAACATGTCCAGAGTTTGTGAGACGAAGTCTTGCCATCCTTGCTTCAAAGTAGAGCCAACAGAATTTGCTAAGGGATTAGAAGAAGGGTGTGAAAGAGATGTGAAACCAAGGTTTGGGGCTTACAAGCTGTGAAGATTGGCTTGCCATTGATTAAGAAGAAGAGTGTGGGAGGGGCAGCTTGGGGGGTGGGGGAGAGTGAAGAGCAGGAGTTTATTTCCAGAAGTGTCAGTTCTCATGGACACTTCTCATGGGTGCTGTATTCATTTTAAAAGTGTGCTGCTGCACGTAGGTTTGTCCTGTTGTGGCTACAGTGTGAGGCTGTAGGGACTTCTCATGTGCTTATTTATGGAGAGGCTATTGAGGAATAAGGAACGATAAGAGAAGGTCCGTGAGGACTCTGATTTAGCTGGGGAGACAGAATATGGACCCATCATGAAAAGTTAACAGGACATGACAGAGTACCAGTCGTCACCAGGCAGCACAGGACTTTGGTATCAAGCCCAGCACCATGTTCTTCATCACTTGCCACTGGTGCCAGGATGGAGTCTGAGCATTGTTGTTGATAACACACTTCCGACTGGCTGGAAAATCCCCCTTGGTCTCTGGACTCTGTTCTAAAATTGGATTGTGGATTTTGAGTCAATCCACCTGGGCTCAAGTAGAAAATGGTTAGAGGGGACTGCCAAAATGTGAACTCAGCCACCAAGAAGATGAAATCTAGGGTGTGACAGCTGCTATTAACTATTGAAGGTTGAATTTGTGGAGAATGGAGAAATTAAAGAAAGCATCCAGCTCCTGGAAACACACAGGTGCTCAGGCCCTTTACTAACTTTGATCTTAGACAAGTCCCTTAATTTTTCTGAGCCTCAATTTTGCAGTCTGTGAAATGGAGATGATGAGTCCTGCCCTACCTGCAAGGCATTGTTTGTGAGAGTCAAATGAAATCGTTTGAAAACTATAAAGCACTATATAAATATAAGAATTCAAGACTATTGACCAAACCCAAATAATAGAGGCCTGTTGGGCAAAATGTCAGTTCCAGTACTACCAGGCTTGTATATGAGGATATTGCTTTTCACATTTGTATCTCGACAGTGTGCATGTATCTTTTATGTGGTCTGTTTCAGGTGGGATATTTCTAGAAAGCCATAGAACCATGTCTATTTAACAAACTTGGTCAAGAAGTTAATGTCCTGCTTTACTAAGGATCACATCCTAGTGTTTACCTACTATAACCATTATTATTTTTCTTTTTAAATTAATTTTGTTTTAAAACTTATAAATGAAATACATGCCTCTGAAAAATTGAAATATTATAGTTAAGTTTAAAGTTCCCTATGATCACTATCCTCTTTTTTGATGACCCTCCACTTTACCAAGCATGATATCCTTCTCCAGGGACTGATCCCTCCTGATAACATGTCCAAATCCTCATCTACTTTCTAGGGTAACCATTATTGTCAATGGGATACAAACCTTTTCCTGGACACACACATATGCCCTTGTGGTGTATAAGCAGTTCCTGGGTGGTGCAAACAGTTAAGGCACTCAGCTGCTAACTGAAAGTTTGGAAGCTCAAGTCCACCCAGAGGCACATCGGAAGAAAGGCCTGGTGATCTGCTTCCAAAAAATCAGCCATTGAAAATCCTATGGAGCACCGTTCTACTCTGACACACACAGGGTCATCATGTGTCAGAATAGTGATGTATAAATAGCATCATTGGATATGTTTTTATTGATGGTGCATTTTGTTTTGTTTTAATATAAAAGGTATACATTAATTATCTACAACTTGCTTTTTGCACTCAATAATATGACTTGGAGATCTCTCCTTACTAGTACACATAATGCTAGCTCATTTTTTTTAACTGAAGTGATTATTCTATTTATTAATTTTCTGAAGATTATTAAACAACAGTTTTTCATAGTGCCCATCATCCCAGAAGTTGAATGCCTTCATGATTTCCCTGGTTTTGATCAACTGGAACTTTGATTGGAATAACAACTCTACCAAACGCCCCAGCTTCAGCTTCTAGGTAGCTGAGATCACATTTTGGCAGCCCCATTTCCCATTTCAGACATCATTTGCAGGAGAGCAGCAAGCCTCCCGTTTTTGAGAGTGGTGCTAGATTGTTGCTACTGCCTGAGTTGACACCACTACCCACCACAAGCAGCAGCATCTGACATTTACCAAGAGCCCCAGGGCACCTGATGTCTCGGGCGGGGAGCTCGTAAGCAGTCTCCTGGGGCAACCAATGAC